GGTGGTGTGAATTTTGTGACTCAAATCGCCTGAAGTTAACCTCGAACAATGTCAGCTGAGGACTGGTTTTTAAATGGTTGAAGAGCGAGGAGAAACGGATGTTTTCGCAGGCTAAGGGTCAGATGAATTACAAACAGCCGCGTGTGATGAAACAGGTTGATCAGAGACTTTTGTAGCAATAAAGCGTGAGGTAGTGGAGTTGATGAGTTTGTCAGGGTACTTTAGCTGGGAAAAAACTGGCCTCCGTGTGCTTGACATATAGAAGTCTCCACATCATCGCACACATGTGAAGATCTGTCGAGGAGTTGGGTGCCCAGGAAGGGAAGCATACCATTGCTTGCAATCTCCATGGTGAACATAACGGAGGAGTGACACTGAATTTTTACTGTGTTTAAATGAAGAACTATTCCATTCTGTTCTATTCTACATAGCCCTACATGGCCCTATATGGCCATATATAACCCTACATAGCCTTACCTAGCCATGCAGAGCTCTATACGGCCCTACATAGCCCCACATAGCCATACACAACCATATATAGCACTATATAGCTCTACATACATAGCACATCGTAGCCGTACATAGCTATACATAGCCATACATGCCCCTAAATAGCCCTACATAGCCCTACAGCTATACTCCTCTTTTTTTCTGCAAATTGTTAGAAGAGGTGGATTGTCAGCACGCGGATGATAGTTTTTGGTTGTTTTACGGATTATAGTCTTTGAACGGTCGTAATTCGACTTCATATATATTTTACGGATTGGTTTTGTAGCGGGTCTTAGTTTTCGTAATGACGAAAACTAAGAGGGGTCTTTGTTTTCGAAATTACGAAAACTAAGACCCCTAAATTTACCGTTAAATTTGACCTAAAACTCAGTGGAAGGAATCGGACAGAAGATATATAATTTGACAGATTAGACCTATTTCGGTCACAATTTGACTTCATATTTCGACAGATTCGATTTCAGGGGGTTTTAGGTTTCGTTATCTCCAAAACTAAGACGGGTCTTAGGTCTTAGGTCTTAGGTCTTAGTTTTCGTAACACCCTTATCTCTTGAGCTCTATCTTTTTGGTAACTCGCTCTCGCGCAAAAAAATACCCCTGAAATCACAGACAATCTACAGAGCAAAAAGTGCTGAACAAAGAGCACTAAAAAGGCACTTCCACCGCGTCATATATAATCAATGTTGCATGTTTCACGTACAATCATTTGAAATCATTACTCTGACTCTATTGCTAACCACTGTTACTCCCTTCATAAGACGAAGTCAAGGCTGGTCACTTCGATCTGGCAGGGTCCTGGACAAGTCGCAACAAAAAACGCCGTTTTTTCGCCGAAATTCAAGTCTGCTGCAAATTTTTTCAGTTCCAACCCAAGAGGGAAACCTCCTTTTCCTCTCTAAGAGATCGGCTCGATAAAAGCTTTATAATTTCCCCATCAAATTGGACCATTTGTGCCGGACTTCAAGGCACGTCTGGCTTTCGGAGGGGGACATTGGGGGGTACCCAATACCGCAATACCGTAAGAAAAAATGGCAAATACCGAAATACCGCGTCGAAAATCGTCTAAATACCGATACCGCATATTTTAATCACATTTATAACCGGTTCCGCATACTTATGGTTGCTTCCATGTGGCGCGTTTAATTATCTCAGGCATTTATGCACCAGATGTCCATGTTTTTTTTTAATATTTTGGTAGTTCGCAAATTTTTCGCAAATTAACACTGAAAAGTAAACTACATTTGTTCAACCTTTTGGTAGGTCGACCCAACAGCTAATTAACTCCAATGTAAATAACTCTTGACAGCGCACGTCTAGTGCGAGTTTTGATAAGTGAGTCTAGTCTTTCACGTCAGTCTCTCTGGGGTTAACTCCGGGGGGGGGGTACTCCCATACATTACCTATACGGGTATGTGCCGCCCAACGGGGTGGTGATTTTGAAGCTCCTGATTTAGAACGGGGTATCCATTTCAGAGGCGTTTTCTAGAACGGGGTATAATATTTCGAACGCACGAAAGCTCCAGTTTTGTAAGCAGCCATTTTAAATTATTCAAGGACAGATTGCTTTTAAAAATACGGTTCCATGCGTTAACAAGCAAACTGTTGTACTCTTATTGCACCCTAGAACGGAGTATAAAAAATTGGCTTATTTCTAGAACGGGGTATCAGTTTTAGGGCGAATTCTAGAACGGGGTATAAAAAATTGGCACATTTCTTGAACGGGGTATCAATTTTAAGGGAATTTTTTTTTAGAACGGGGTGCCAATTTGGAGTCCCGGGCGGCACATACCCACCCAAAAAATACCCAAGTGCCTCCCCCGGGGGTTAACTATCTCGACTGTCTCACACGCCGCGCCGGTAAGAGGCAAACTTACCAAATTTTCTCTTTTAAGTTTACAACCCGACCTATAAACTTATTCTTGTTGCGATAATGTTCGCCTCCTTCGCCCTCTTCATAAACGACTGCCACACACTCAATAATGACCACGCCGTCTTAAACCTCAGCGACCTCGGTCATTGTGAGAAAACGTGTTAGCCTGTGGACAGGCCTTTGGCCGAGCTGGATGGGGAGAGGGAAAAGCGAAAAGGCCTCTCTCCCCCCCGTTCTCTTCCCTTTCCGCGCTATTTTTCCCCAAACGGAGAGCCTGTTCACAAGCTAAAACGTGTAAGACCTCGAATTACCGGCACAGGTAACTTGAGACGACTCATTATCATTGGATGCAACAACAATCACATTGTATATTATCGACCATTAACTGTCACAAAATGACCCACGAATGGCGTAATCATTTACCGTTATGTCTCAAGACTTCTAAATATTTACTTTATTGACCTTTATGTCCTACTGTGTTTTGTTTTGCGCACTGTATCGAAAGCGCAAATAAACAGTACAGTAATACCGTGAACAATCTTATTTCACCGAACACCGTCAGCCAAAATGGTGAAAAACCGCATACCGCAGAGCTAGATGATACCGCAATACCGCACGTGAAAATTAAAATTACCGAAATACCGCATGAAAAAAAGCCCAATACCGCAATACCGTAAACCCCCATGTCCCCCTCCTTTCGTCAAGTGCCTGTGACCGCTGTTGCGCTTATCAACTAATTTGCATTATGACAATTAGCACTTACACGACCGGTGCAAGGGGTCAATTCTTCACAGTGCAAGAGCCTAGTAAACGTGTCATTTCCGCCCTTGCATCCGAAGTGACTACANNNAGAGGATTAATCACCTACAAACGATCGTCCGAGAATATAATAGGGACTACCTGTCTAAAAACAGGCCACTAAACTTCAAAATTACGGAGAAACCTTAGGCATTCAACCAGCGAGTCTGAAGGACATGTCAACGTAAGGAAGGAATTACATGCTAGGAAGGGCTCCCGCCCTTCTGAGATAAGTTATTGTGAAAAATGCAACAAGTCTCCGAGAATAGGCACATATACTGTATTTTGACTCGCCCTACGAGCTCGCAAAAAATATACCGTAAAATTCCAAAAACAAGCCCCTCCATGTATAAGCCCTCCGAACCGGTAACGCAAAAAACCCTCCGTTAAATTGCCCCTCCAAATATAAGCCCCCCGGGGGTTGTACTTGGAAAATTGCCCTCAAATACAAAGTAAAACGGTATAGCCTAATCGATTTTGAAACGCAAATTTCCCTCCGTAGATAAGCCTCTCCGAATATAAGCCCCTCCAAAAATAAGCTCCTCAAAAAGGGCCTTTGAAAAATATAAGCCCCGGGGCTTATTTTCGGAATTTTACGGTATCCCACAATACTTTACACTAAAACACCGTCCAATAGTTAAGATATAAACTTTATTAAACGGTTAATACGGTACAAGTCCAAGTGGTCCTCTCAAGAACTGTTCACTAGTTTACAGTACAAGGGTTAACCACATTTATCAAAATCAAACATGTCACTCCGAGTTTGTTTGTTTGTTTCCATGCGCTTAAACCCCATACGAATCTGCTTTTTTTTAACAGGGTTTCAATGCCTGCAATAAGCACATAATTGTGACATAGGAAATAGACTTGACGATATCTGAAGGTTTGTGAATCGGGACACAGAGAGTGTCCGTTACCCGTATTAACCGGTGTCCGGAGCTCCCGCCGGTATCCCTATAAAGCGGGTTAATTTTAGAGAATATCTAGCAGCTTTTGGTCGAGATAAACGAAAATGTCCGTCGCATTTGTGCCGGTTAACGTGTACACTGTGAAATTTGGGGAAAAAAAAAACTTTTTAAAATTTTTCTAAAAAGTACTATTGAGCGTTTTTCTCCATACCGAAACGCTGTTCTCTCTTTAAAATGCATGATTACCCTCAGCTTTCCTTTTCAATTTCAATAGCCTTAGGTATGATCTACCCGTCTCAGCCTGACATGGGCATCATCTGGGAGAAAAAATACTTCCCAATAGTGGGCATCGTCTTCAACTGGGTGGCAAAAGGGTTTTCCGTGATGCGTGTGGGTTCCAAATTAGCAGGGTGATGTTAACAAGCCAACTGGGAGCTGGTTATTAAGTTGAATGGTCAAGGTTAAAATGATTCTTCACCCCACAGATCCAATAAAAAATAATCATATTCTTTTTTCATCGCCATCCTTACAATCCTTTCGGGTTCGACTCCCGTGACAAGCCTGAATTTTTTTTCAGACTTCCTTTTCGCAACTGCCATAGTTGTGTCTACAACTGCGATGATCTTTTTCCATTTAATTCTTTGCCCAGCAGTTCTCTATAACGATTTTTTTAAACTTTAGACCCGTTTTCTACAAATGTTCTGAACGGTTTTTTAACATAAAGCAGAACCAATCAAAATCAAAAGTTTTCAGTTATGTGAATTGAAACGTTTCATCTCTACTCCTTTTAAACTGCACAACTCTGGCTACAATACAACAGGAAACTAGATTATTCCTTAAACAGTATGGACTTGTCAAACGTTGTTAACTTTGGTGGGCTGGCAACGAAGTCACACAAGGAGGCAAAGTTCATTACCTTTAAAAATGGTTTTACTTTACCATACAACTATTTTTTACAAGCTACTTAGAGTAGTACATGTACTTGTGGATTATTTTAAATCTATAATTTAGTAATTTTTCACCACTGGAAGACATGACATGCATTCTTCTGCACCTATGTTAACAATAATTAATCTCAATAAAACACAACAAACTTCAGTGGTGTTTCAGGTGAAACCAACATGGTTATAAAAGACTTTTGGTAGAAAATCATGAATGTTTAGCATTATTACAAATGGATAAAACTTGCGGGCCTGATAGCCTATTTACAATGTCTCGAGTCTTGGCGCTTTTGGATTTAGTTATCAAGGTTGATTTACTAAAAGCAATTTTCCACTGGCTCTGAGAAAATCTATGGTGACCAAAACCTAATAATGCAACACAAAAATTGATGAATAAATGTACATCAGGTCACAGCTTAATTTACAACGGTTTTCCCAAACTTTTTCAAATAAGAGATTAGCTTTCAGACTAGGTTCCAGTTACTTGACCCTTATCATTAAATTAATGGTTGCTAAATTATAATATTTTTGTTTACGTTCATTCTAATGGCGACAATAGCCTTGTTACCAAAGGAATCTTTACTCTAAAATTTGGCCAGTGAGGCTATAAATAGACATAAAACAATAAAAAAATGTAGTCCTGCCTTATGAATCAGATCTATGATGTCTAAATCATTGGATCAAAAAGTAATGTTAAGAAGTGAAATAAAAGAAAGTACTTTTGATATGATAGCCACTGGAAAACTGCTCAGATATTGTCATAGGCAAAGTAAGATAAGTTAGTTTCTACTCAGACTTGTGGCAATACAGGTCTTTCAGTGTCTTAAGTTCTTCAATCAGAGTTTTATTTTGGTTCTCGAGGACTGCAACTCTGTTTTCTAAACACTTCACATATTCTTTTTTCTTTCTCCTGCATTCTTTGGCTGCCTCTCTGAAAGTCAAAAAGAAAGACCATGTGTGAGTATCTTACAACCCTGAGGGTAATCTATCACCTCATCCCTGAGTACTTCTTCCCAATTAAGACTATGGAAGTAAAATGTTGATGAAAAAACGTAAACTTTGTGCATTTTTCCTTGATTTTCTTCTATAAAGCGAGCAATCCTTGACACCCTTCTGGCCAAAACCTTGTGATAAATTAAGGCTTTACAGTAATCATTTTCTACAGTTCTTGCTCCTCAAGTTTCTCTACCTTCTAATCAGTGAGAACAAGAGGACTAGAGAGGGACAAAAGCCACACCCAGGGTTTATTCTAGAAATTGGTCAATGAAGGTCAAATGGGCCCCTTTCTGTAATTTTAGAGGGAAATTTTTCAAGAATGGGGGTCCCCCAAAAGGTATTTGAACTTATTGGTACAGACTTCCATGAGAAAACAAATGTTTATTGAAATTATCATTTACAGACTTGCAAGTACTGAACATGAGATTAAAACGAATGTAAGACTTTGTGTGGACTGACTCAGGGTGGTTTATTCCCCAGCTGGAAGTTTGGATTTGTTTTTGACCTCCAACTTCTTGCACTAGGTCTTTACGGTAACCGTGCCATTGCCTTTGCTAAATGAATAAGCCACCCTCTACCAAACAAGCCCCCCTCCTCTATAAACAGGGTTGTCAAAAGTAGCCGGCTGCCATTTTCTTTACGGATGGCATTTTTTAAATAAAATGTAACTGGACTTGCAGCTAGGGGCTTACTTTGACAACTCAGTCGTCTACTCTAGAACTTTCTGACAACCCTGATCAAGCCCCCCCCCCCCCACCCCCACCCCCCCCACGCCCCCCACACCACACCAGACCACCCCACACCCCCCCCCAAAGCCCCCCCCCCTCCCCCCGCCAGGGCTTAATAGAGGATTTACAGTACTTAGGGGACCAGTCAGACATGTTAATATTAAATTATATTACAGTCTTCAGGGGAGTCATACCTATTTTTCAGTAACCTCATTTCTCGTTTTCGAGATGCATCCTCAGCTATTTGTTGACCATTTCCAGCAATGCCAGGTGAACTAAGAACCATACCAGGTGGAACTTGTCCACGAATGTACTGTTGTTGTGCTGCTGGTATTGTATACATCGTACCAGTGTTGCTTACTTGAACCTGCTAAGAAAAAATATTATGCTCAATTTTCCTTACATACTGACACATTTTTTACGTGGAAAAGAGACCAAGAGGTGACTCACTATTCATGTACGAAAAACAGCTTATTTCAAGGTGCATTTAGCAGCACTTTCACAGGGACCCCGGAGTTATGGGGCTGGGGGGTTATAGCCCCTTCAGTAAGTTCGCTGGGATTTTTTTCCAATTATCAGAAAACTACTTCTAATCTTTGAGTTAAAAGCACACACAAGTTTCTATAATAATCATGTTTTAAATCACATTTTTGCATAAAAAAACTAACAGAATGGTGATACACAATTGAAAAAATTTTCTCAGGATTGATAGAAATAAATGAATTTCCCCTGACTTCAGAAGTTCTACACTGTTGAAAAAATTTTAAATTTTCCCCACACCCATACATAACTGTGACTTTACAGGGTGCAAAGAAAATCATTTTTACAGCTTGCCATTCGGGCAAGCTGAAGCTAGCATTCACTAGCCCAGATGTCATTTCAACCAGCCCCATAAGCTTTTTGACGAGCAGAATTGATTTCACAGTTCTTCTGCCCGTTGGGCAAGTTAAAACAGAATTAACTAGCCCAATAGCAAAATCCACTAGCCCCAGGCTATCGGACACTATTTTCTTTGCACACTGCTTTGCCGCTTGTTGAGCCCAAGCAATCCAAAATATGCTCCGCTGTCCCTATTACAGCCAGCAGCAGACAAATTTAACAACTCAGCAATTCAAGTTGCTTCCATTTTGCTTGTCATGGTAATAAAGTGGTAAACAACTGATTTTACCTTCCAGGATCAAGGCAAAATTAAAAAAGATGAACCTTATAATGACATAATTCATTCAATGACATATTTGATGGCAATTACGTCTCGTCAGATGTATTAACAGGGTCTCGTAGAGTTAAACAGAAGTCCTTCTTTGACAACGACAATGATAAGGCATGTTTGCTCTAAACATTCAATGACATACACATAAAAAAGTTTCACACAGAGAGGCAAAAGTGAATTTTGAGGTAAGTGGCCAAAATCTAATATTATTTTGGTGACAGATTACTGGTGAGGTCATTATTGCTGTACAATTGCGAGGAGAACTGACAAAGAAAAAGGAGACTTGTATAAGTAAGGAGAATAATGTGTTCAGTAAAGAACTTCACTTTACCTGTACTTGAACCTCTCCGGGGTTAGTTGTATAAATATATTGTTGACCGTCCTAAAGAGGTGAAAAAAAAATATTTATTATTTTAGGACCAGTACTACAAGTAAAAGAGGCCGTGACACTTAACTTTTTCAGTCGGCCTTGATTATTCCAGATATCAAAGGTAAAAACAAATCTTGTTTCAACAAAAATCATCACAAACACACCATCTCAGTATGACATTGTACTGGGAAATCATGAATTGTAGGCATGGTGGGTTGCACTGATTTCTAAAAATGACTGTAGGTTCTTAGCCAATGAGAAGACAGAAAGTGAGTACTTTGATACTTTTAAATTTATGTAAATTTGATGCAAAAAGATAATATCTTTACCTGTTGCTGTTGCTGATATTGAACGACAGCACCAGAAGAATTCTGAGCCATGGGCACTGCTTGAAGTGCCTCACCTGAAGTGACAATTTGTATGGTTCCTGGAATGGCGACGGTTTGCGGTGCTTGTTGGTAGCTGAGTGGACTAGTGGTAATCACAGCTATAGGTGAAGCTCCTTCTGTACCTTCACTCTGACCTTGGATATCTTCAGAGATGGTTTCTACTTTGGTTGGGCTTTCTGAACCAGACAAGTCGTTGAATATTTTCCTAAAATAAAATAACAGGTTTTACTAAAAAATCAACAATTGCGGCTTTTAGAGCTCTATTGCGTCCTTGCCAAGCAGTTGACTAGTTCAGTGCTAGAAGTTGGATTAAAACTTTGCTTAGATTTTGTTAATTCTTTTTAAAAAGGTCAAAAAATTGGTTTGGCTACAGAGTAGCAGGTGATGATGAAACTACACTAGCCTAGCAGACTCTTACACTAGTCAAAAGTCATATTATTGGACAGCACTTAAGTCGTATTCTCATAGTAAAAACAGAACTTTACATTTGTGTAACTAGGTTGATATAAGACTTTATCAGTTTGGTACTGGTTTGTGTTTTAGCATAAACAGAACTTTTCTTCTGAATCACATGATTAAGTTCAGATACAACTTTATAAACAGTCAGTAGTCCCAATAAAAAAACCTTTCAACCAATCACACTGCAAGATAAATGTTCAGAAAAATCAATTTATCAATATTTTTATTCAAAATCAATATTTTTATCCATGACATAATTTTCATCATGCAATTATTGCTTATTTATAGCAAATAAATCTAGAACATATCTGCACAGGGTAGGTGCAGGGTGTAGACCGTAATAACATACAGCTGTAATTATTATTCCCTGCATTTTATTTCCACCGCTAAAGCCATGCATATTCTTCCAAAGAGTCTGCAGCATGGACATCGATGCTTTTCGATGCTTATGTTTAACATAAAAAACACACTGATAGACTAAAATAGCACGCTCAAGATTCTGATATTAACCTGAATGCCCTTATCATACTATTCACTCATGACGTTATTGTATGCCGGAACCTCTCTTGTCCTTCTACTTTACCAATCCCTACAATACGTTGATTATTTTCATACATTATCAACATCTTCGACAGTACGACAGTTCCTTAAAGTATATTTATGTCCTCGAAACAGTCGTAAATCGAATACAATGAATCTCAAATTCAACAGAGAATAACCACTGTGAATTGCTAAACTAACATAGAAAAATACAATTATTGTAAATTCATGGACGTCATCTATTACGTTACATTAATACCCAAAAAGTCAAGAGTTCACTAAAGATACAAACAGCACTCAGTTTTCCAGACAAGAATTATATACCGTAAGCTTCTAGAGAGGCTAACGATTTTCTCTCTACTGACCTGGAACTACGATCACTTTGATCACAATGATTTCTTTCACGGCCAATTCTGTGTCGATCAGAAATTGGAATAGACAAGAGTCCTTACTTTACCTTCAATCATCAACTGTAACGTATTCTATCGTAACGGAACTACGGATGGCGACATTCCGTGCCGAATTGAGGAAGCTTCGCGTAATATCGTGCGTCAGCTTCTACGTAAATTTGATTCAACTCTCACAAGTGGAAGAAAAAGTACATCATAGCCATTCTTTGTTTCTAATGGACCGCGTAAAAATATAAATATCACATCATACACTCCTACAAAGACCCCATTTGGATAGGAGGCTCACAAGGACATCACGTATTGATCTAAGTTCTTCTTCATTAGCTCAAGTGTACCTGTATGAAGGCCTCCTCGACAAGATGTCCCTTCGCTTTTTGCTTTCTTCATCCAACACACCAGAATCATCGGGATCGGTGACTCCTTGAACTGCTTGCGCCAAACCTATTTGCTGACCTTGAATAGACGCCGAGTGAATTGACTGAGCAGTCTGTATTACGGATTGTTGGTTGGTCTGAATCACAGATGGCGTTTGCATCGGCGGAGGCATCGAAGTTTGCGCCGAGCTTTGTGGAAGAGCCTGCCCTTGCTGAACAGTTACAGTGCTGCCGTTTTCCATCTCGGCTACACTGGTCTGTTCTTCGATTTGCTCCATGTTTGTCTCGACACCCTTCTGGGGTTATATGATAAGTAAAGTCGAGGCGAGAGAAAGCTTTCTGTTTCGTGGTCTCTACAAAGAACTAGAAGAAGAGAAACCGATGAGGTCCGCATCGCGATCGCTCGAGCAAATCCGACAACGCAAACAGTCGATCGAATATTTCACCCGGGAAATTAGCAAAGAGTAGCAAGAATTATTATGCTCTCTGTAGTTGACTCTTTGGAATCTACAAGAAAGAGAAAATGAAACTTACTTGCTACGTCACTTCTACGTCACCCTGATTTCTTTACGCAGCCAGCGTGTCGTTGTGTTTCTTCTTCTTTTTCGCGAACGGCAGCCGCGTCACTGTCGCGTCACCCTCCCCAAATGCGGGGTGGACCGCCCCTGCTGCATCCTATTACATCATGGTTACGTCAGAGCCTTGCCACTCACTGCCAAATAAGGCAATTGATTGGTTTGGGGGTGGACAGGGCCCCTGCAAAATCTGCAACGTCATGACTCGAACAGGAAGTAATATTATTCACGGAAGCAAAATTTGAATAAAACATCAACAATTCGTGAAATAGAAAGGCCTGCGTAGTGTTTCCGCGCGAGTTTCCGCTCTTGATCAAAGTTTAGGGTTTAGTCCCCCTAAAAATTCCTGATGTCGTTCTAGTTTTCCCAACAAACCGAGTCTTAATCTGATCAATGGATTTGTTTAAAAATTTCTATTCTAAAAGTGACAGGAACAAGCGGAAATTTATGAGATGAGTAAAAAAGGTACATCACGTAAGAACTGATTTACTTCCTGTCGAGTCTCTTCCAGCCATTTCTCCATGCACGTACGGTTTTTTCTCATAGATGGGAGCCTATTATCGTTGCAGTAAATGATAAACTAAAGGAAGAAAGATGTTTTTTTATTATTGTACCCAAGTAACAAAACTTACAGGAAAAACTCGCAAGTTCGTTCGGGAGATATATGGAATAACGGGTTCTCTATTCTCGATACAAAAAAGGTACAAAAATTTATTAAAGTGAATCAAAGTTGCTCCTACTACGTAAGAACTAACTTTGCAAGACATGCACAAACACCACACATAGAGCCCAAACAGGGCGGGGCTCTTGCCGTTTACATAAGAAATTCAAACAACCTCGTCCCCAGGACTTTTCCGATAACCCTCCATGCCCTGGGGTCGCGGTCAAATTTTAAATTGTTTAGAAATCACTCCTAGCTATGTTTTAATTCAAAACGAAAATAAACGCTTGCAGTAATGAACGCGTATCGAATCTTCCACAGCTGGAGGAAAGAATCCCCAAAGAGAAGCTGCTGTTTTGTGCCAACTCACAGGTAACCCAGGCTTAGAACAAAGCGACTTGAGTATTCCTGGCATTTCGAACGGTTAAGGCGTTCTTCTTAGAGGGATTTATTGAAGAAACGGAAAGTAGCTACAAATATATAAATATAGTTAAAAAGCGGTACAGTTGGAAACTTGATACGAGTAAAACTTAAAATGAATAGGCCAATAGGAATAAACTAAACAATACAGTAACCGACACAGTAATCATTCTGGTCCCCAGAGCCCGTCGTTTCTTGGTCACAAATTAAGCCGAGTGGCTCTGGGGACGAAAATGTACAGTAACTGGGCGTATATCAGTTATTGGCCTATTCATTTTAAATTTTTACTCGCATCAAATTTCCATGCAAAACTAAACATAATGTTGATGATGATGATGATGATGATGATGATGATGATGGTGATGATGATGATGGTTTATTTCGGATTTCCACGAACCCAAACGAAGGCGAAATAGCTGTCCATGGCTTCATGGATGCCACTGTCCGGGCTGTGCGCATGCGTTAAGTGCCGGCTAAGTCGTTGTTGTCCGTCAGCAGTAAATGCATTATTACCATAAGGATAATTCTGGAAATTTCTTTAACAATTTCACAGCGAACTGAGTCGCATAAATAGACACAGCAGAGGTGGATAGCTAAGAAAATGACAAAGAACTCGGCTCCCTGTGTAGCCTGTCCATAGACGTTTTTTCCTTTTTTTCGACAATTCGATACTGGCGCGCGACCGAGCGCGGAGAGCTCTTGCGGTCAATAAATCCTCCGCGGTTTTCATTTCCATACGCGCATTCGACGATCTCTAAGGAGAAAGAGGGTCTGAGAACCGGCTACTCCTGGGTCTGGTTCCTAAAAAGATGGTTAAGTTTTACCCGGGATTAAGCCAAATTTTAAACAAGGGTTTCCTGCCTCTAAGAACATGGAACCCAAGCTTCCAAAATACTGATCAGCCTTTACTGGGAAATACAGTAATGATAACACAAAATATTACTCTAGGCAATACATAGGAAGGTAAATACAAATAGTGCAACAAAATTTTCATCCTGGGTTAGCACTAATCGGCCTTTCAGGAACCGTCGGGCCCTGGTGTAACGTCCACGTTTACACCCAATATGGTCCCTTATGTTCCCTAGAGCTTTAATTTCCGCTAACGGATGCTAATTCAAAGAAAAAAAATGAACTGCCTTCAGTAAAACCAAGCCTGTTAAAAAACACAGTGGGTGGTGAGAGGTCGGAAATTATCCCTCCATCACTTCCCTCCCTTCCCCCCAAAAAACAAACCAATCCTTGCAAGCTGACACCACAACAAAGCTGAAGTGAGTCTGACAGACATTTTTGTTACAATAGCCGTCTAATCAAGTAAACCATCTTAAAGAAACAACACGGTACTTTACAGTATGACCGGCGTAGCTTGTATGGCTGGTAGTTTCCTTTGGGCGCGAATTCCCCTCAGGTTTCCTTTTCCAAGCTCATTTGGAACCTACAGCCTCTAACGAATGCAGCACAGCTATCGCTTCACAGCCGTAACATGACTATGGGCAGCTATTTAACCTTACTGAGCTTCATCAGCATGTAACGACGCACTTGCTACTGCGGCTTTTGAATCTTGTCGCGGCCTAACGAAAATAGAGAGCTCAAGCAACTACTTCGATGGCGATTCAACTCTTGAAAATTTGACCTATAACAAACAACCTGATTAAGTTTAAATCTTGGTTTAATCAAACGCAAATTCGAATATTTTGTCACCTCTTCCAGGCGTGCAGAAAGTGGAGAGTGTGGCACGAAGTCAGAAAGAGCGGGAAAAAAGGAGGGAGTGACGGGAGGGAGGAGGGAAAGCACTCCCCTACCCCACCCCACCCCAAGCTGTTTCTCCTGCTCACTTCTCTTTGTTCAGTTAACGCTATCTGGACGCCTAAAAGAGGCTAGATATTTTTTGTTATTTTTTGCTGTCATCGTCGTCGTGGTAAGTTAAACTTCCTAACCACGGAAGCAATTAGATATTAAGCATTTATGTTAGAATTGGGCTTATGCTTGAAGCGTTACTAGTGAAGTGATCGCAGCTGTAAATTTCGACAGTCAAAACATTTGGCCTGTTGAGCAAAATGTGAGATACCGCTTTGTTAACAGGCTACAATCGCTTGATTCACAAATCATCAAAATATATCCGCTTCAAGAGAATTGCTTTTCAGCCCAGTCTTGATCAACTTGTCCGATTGTAACAATATTCTTACGACGCCAAGAGCTCTTTTCCATGCTTCTTTCTTTGCGGAATAATCATCCCATAGAAGCAGCATTTCTACCTTATGAGATAATTTTCCAGAGTGAATTGGAGCCCCTACTCCACCTTTAGCGGGAGTCATGGAACCGGACGCCGCGGCGAGATCTTTGACATTAGCTCTCGAGAGTCCGCACTCGTTTTGTGCCTCGTTATCATTAAGGGTGTTCACCGATTTCTCCTCCTCAGTATTTAATAGAAAGTCTAAACAGGATCCCGCGGTAATCAATTCCTCAATATAGGCTGAAACTCCCGAGGGTATGGTTAATGTTCCTGAATTATGAACGACGCTTCCTAAATAGTCTTTAAATCCCTCAGCAAATGCAGAGTACACCAACGGCCTAAAAACTTCCAAGCTCCCGTCCAACCATCCGGATAGAGAACTGCGTGACTTCTGGGATTTATTTTGTTGACCTGTGAAAACAAGAATAAATTCTGACCTCAATCAGTTGCCTCATAAACCTCTTCCCTAAATCAGGTTGTGCAGCAAAAGGAGTCGCTGGTTTCCGTGTTGTTTCGCGGGAGACTGGTAGCTATACGAACCTGCTAATTCATTCAGTCGTCGAATACAAGCAATTTCCGGTGCTCCGGCCCCAGGCAGCACACGGCCACAAGCGAGGACGTTCTTCAAGCGATGAATAGAATTCCAGAAGCGGTGTTCTGCGTCCCAGACATGATCTTTACATGGACTACAGAGTAGCACAGTTTGAAGCGGGCTGTTAATATCTTTTGGAAAAAAGACACAGAGAATTAATAGAGTTAATTTCGCTTAATTTCACTCTTTCACAGCAATGAATTTATCACAGTTTCACCATGACCTTACGAGCGGTCTTTCGTATATCTTCGTATATCAAATACCAGTGCTCTTTCTTATGACAAAGATACATGTAGAGACGTTTGTTAATTTGAACCCAGTGTTATTTCTGACAAGCGCTTATTGTTTGCCTGGTCCCAGTGCGGTGACTTTCCAGGCCTTCACGGTCATGTGTTTTCGGTGACGTGCACTCAGACCACGTGAGCCGAAATGAATCAGTCGCGTGGAATTATGAGGTTTAGCGACTAGGCAAGCTTTTTATTCGCCAGTCTTTTGCGGGACGCGTGTTACATATGTGACTTCATTATCTTTGAAAAAAATAATAACAGAAGACTCGCGGCAGTCTAATTTTTAATAATATCCCTCCCCTAATGACTGCGGTAAAGTCGTAACTGTTGACTGAGTTCTGAACTTTAGAGTCACAAAGTCATTACCGAAAACGACCTTACCTTTAAAGGTTCCACTTTCTTTTTTGAATTCTTTTATAAGCACAAACTGTAGTTTCCTGACGTCGCAAGAATTACCACTTTCCACCTTGCTTTGTCTCACTACTAAAGGTGTCCAGCCAAGCTCCCAGGTATCTATGGTAACGGGCTTTCCGATATCCTTCTCCTTCAAATCAGCCAAATACGTCACCATGACGGAGCCGGTAGCAAAGGAGAGAAGTTGAAGAGTTGGATATGCTACTTTTTGGAGAACTACAATGTTATGGGACAAACAATAGTCTAGGATAGAATCTTGAACGACTCCTTTAGTGACAAGGACCCCAATTTTATGGTCCCTGAGAGAGCTTGTATTACGTTGATACCAATATTCCTCCTGAGTGGAAATAGCGTCTTTAAATTCTTTGTGTTCAATAATTCTGTGAATCTGTATTTCGTTGTTTAAGCCAGTATGGCGAAAATCTGCTGTGACGTCACCATTAACTAACGCGATGAAACGTTGGGAGCCTGATACACTAGTTGAAAATTGAAAGTTAGTTGTGTCTTCCAGTAACAGACCATCGACTGTTTGGGAAAAAGAACTTGGTGGACCAAAGATCAGCTCTGTGTGAATCATATTCAAATGAATGTCGAATTCTTCGAGCGAAGCTTTACCTGAACAGTTAAAAACAGAAGTGATAATTTTCACCGCTAGTTTCATTTCTAGCTGTTTTCCATGAGCCATGCGATCACCAAGACGTGTTAATAACTCCTCGTTACTACCCAAACATTTTTCCTTCTCTTTGGAATATGAAATCGTTTCTGACTGACTTGCGCTTTTTTCAAGAAATTTTTTCGCAAAAGTTGAGTGTTGAGAATCTACCTTCCCTGCTTGAACGTTCCTAGTCGTTGACTGTACAGCCTGAGTTGTTTTTCCGTTTAAAACGTTTTCTGATTTTTCTTCTGATAGATTAGGTCTTAATAGCGTTGACTTCACCAAATTTTGTACTCCTGTCCGCCCTTGTTTATCGGTTGAATTTCTTGCTGAGAAATCTCCATGGGACAAAATGTCTGTAGTTTGGTTTAAACGAGTCATTCTCGAAGAAGACGCCGCTAGAACTGACTCCTCTGAACTGCTTATAAAATGTCGACTTCCTTTATAAATTTCAGACAATTTGAACTGTGTTCTGGCTGCCTTTCCCTTGCTCTCCAGCTTCTGCCCCACCAAAAAAAGCAATCTGTCAGTAATTTCTTTGTCCGTGCGTCCTGAAGAAGGCAGCTGTTGTGAATCCAGAAGCTTCGTCTTAACACTCCTTGAAGATTTTGGCTTGGATTGAACGTTTGGGCCTGTTTCTTTTTCTGGTGCCTCGGCTGCAATTGATTTACTCTCACCGACAGTAGAGGAGCTATCTTTAGTCTTCTCTTCCACTGATAGTTTTGTTACTTCATTTCCAAGATTTTTCAGTTCTGATCCTGAGGTGTTATTGAAAAGAAGACCCTGAGAATATGAGTGAAGAGCGCTTTTGCTCGAATTGGAAACAGCTTCCACAAAAGACGCTTCAAATTCATCTTCCTCGTCGTCTTTGCTTGCGCTTTTTGAAGATAAAGCAGTACTTATGCATCCCATATGCTGTGAAGTTTTTGTAAGCGGTTTTCCATAAAACTTTTTTCTTGAATTTGACTGATTGATTTCTCTGTTTTCCCTTTCACCCAAGAATACATCTTTATCCGAAATTTTCTGTACTTTATCTAAGCTGTCATAGTTACCCGAAGTCGACGTCAGACTCGTAACATGTATACTTCTGTCTCTCAAGCAATCCATTAAGCTACTGTATTCTACTTCAGACAATATCCTTCCCTGGTTCTTTTCGCTTCCGACCACACAATCATCACTTCTTAAGTCAGGAAAAAGATCATCATTCTTGCTAGCCTGTTTTGGTTTCGGTATAATGCTATGAAGTAGTGTCTTTGAGACTGAGTGTGAATCATCCACATTTTCCATGTCAACAATCCCACTGGCACCTGGAAGATGATTTATCACCGTCGGGATGCGGTCATTTACCCCCTGGGCAAGATTATCTATCCCTGGGATATGATTTATAACCCCAGGGATATGGTCACTTAACCCCCGGGCAAGATCATCTATCCCTGGGATACGACCATCAGGCCCTGGAATATGACCATCAAAATACCATGAAATATTATCATCCTCCCCATCAGTGTTTCTGTCAGCATGTCCATCACCCTCACCAACAACACAAACCGTGCCTGACTCACCATCTAAATCACACTCACCCATTGCAGAACCTGTGGCATTTTCACGAACACTGACAGTATCTAGATTATCAGCAGTCTGTTGGGCATTATGGGGATCTCGTAAGGCTTCCATGAGTGGAAATGACAATTCTTGACAAACATCCTCACAAGCTTCAAGGGCATCATCAAAAAGCTGGATGATGATTGGACAAGGGACACCCTAAAGAATAAGGCAGTATGGTAGATAATGATATTGAAAGAGGCTTGTTATGAGGGCAGAAGACAGACGCTGTGGTGATTTAATTTATCACTATTAATTAACTCTCACCCTCTGCACAGCGTACAAAGAAAGTCATGTCCGATAGGCCAGGGCTAGTGGATTTTGCTATGGGGCTAGTGATTTTCATTTGTAACTTACCCGACGGGCAAGTGCTGTTTTTTGGGGAAATTCAAACTACAGAAGGATTGTAATCAATCCTGCTAATCAAAAAGGGTTTGGGGGCTAGTTGAAATGACTTGTGGGCTAG